TCCCAAAACTGTAAGCCTTGTTCTGTGAAGTCTCTTACTTATTTGCAGCCAGCTTTGCTTTGTGTCACTTGTGGATAAAAAGTCTCTTTGTAAAGCGTAAGCCTCTTGAGTTTGGCTTTATGAGGTCCAGAAGAATGAGGTAACTTTTCAGTCATCAGGGGCCATGAAATTTTAGGGCAAGACATTATTCCAATTTATTCATCCTTAGGTGGAATTTGTGGAGCCCCTACACAGCAACAGAGTTTACATCCTAGGAGATGGACCTGAAGCAAATTAAGAAATAAGATAATTTGAGGAGGAAATAACAACTGGTGTGACAGGGCCTGGAGTGTGTGTGTGGTGGGGAGAAGTTAGATGGCAAAATCAAGAAACACTTCTCTGAGGAAGTGACATGAGCTGAGACTTGAAGTGGGAGAAAGAACCATCCATGGGAATATCCAGGAAAGCGGTGTTCAGGCAGAGAGAACAGCTTGTGCAAAGGCCCTGAGGCTGGTGTATAATGATGAGGCAGAGGAAACAGGGAAACACTAAATGCAGTTGATTAAAATCCACATCTTTTCCATGGCTGCAAGGTTGAAGAAGCTGCTAGGAGCCGTATAGGCCACTGGGAGAAGGCTGATTTTTTTTTAAGTTTATTCAGTGGACCTTACACACTAACGGTTCCCACCCTGTCCCTCCCATTAGGAGCTCCAAGGTCAGAGGTCAGATGTCTATAGTGACCTCAACACACAGAGGCCATATTACAAATGAGCCCACATTGCAGCAGTCAACAACCTGATGCCTGGATCCAGTCATTCCTGATGCCTCCCCAGCACCCTATTCCTACTCCCACCAAGATACAGATCCTCAGAGTGCCCTGCCTGAGGGGTCAGACTTCTCTCCACTACTGCCCCCAAATAAACATGGCACGCAAAAACACTGTTGAGTTATTCCAGATCTCTCGGCTGAGGGGGCAGGGCTATGTGGGGTTCTGGGAGATCATGGACCCAGAAACAGCTAAGTGGGAGGGAGGCTTTGGGCACCCTGGGATTCTGTGAGGAAGAATCAGAACCAGAGGTAGTTCGATAGCTTTATTCCACCCTAAAGTGGGGAGAGCATTTCCTGTGTGGCGGCACACGAAGCGGGATGAGAGGGTCCAACATCAAAGGTCTCACTTACACGGGGGTCAGCCCCTGCTGGGCATGTTGATGTAGACTTTGTCATCTTCTGGGGGTGGGGGAGAGAAAGCATGAGGCCTGACCACCTACCGCCCACCCACATCCCCACCTTCCTGGGGACCCCCTGCCTCAGGGGTTTCCTCTGGAGTTCCCCCCCTGCACCGCCCCCAGGGTTTCCCCAGCATCTTCTCCAGGGCTTCCCTGGGGGACCCCTCCCTGGGGACCCCCGCTCTAGGGACACCACTCCCTCCGGGCCCCACCCTGTCTCTGCCCTCACCTAGGGTGGGCGGGTGGCGTGGGCAAGCACACGCAAACACGACTGCGATGATGAACAGCGACACCAGCGCGTCGGCGGCCACGAGCCCTGCCAGCACTGGCAGAGAGAGGGGCCCACATCCGGAACAGGAACCTGGAGGGTGGGGGCCGAGACAAGAAGGCAGTTGAGGGAGGTTCCAGACCCTCAGGGCTGCACTTGGGGCCAATGGGGCTGAGGAAGTCCCTGGGGGGGGAGGCAGGAGTGTCTGAGATACCCTGAGGTTGACTTGGGGATGAAAAGGGAGGGGGGGGCCTGGAGAGAGGGGGGGGGGGGGGGGGGGGGGATCCTAGCACAGAGAGACATACATGGTGCTTTGGGCATAGTGGGTACTCCCCAAGAAGGCTGGGGGGTAGCCGAGTCCTTGGGGCTTCATTTTGGTGATGAGGGCAGTGAGATGGGGACCTAGAGAGGACTGTAGATCCCCTGCGGGTTCTGATTTGGGGTGAGAGGAGAGCTGGTGACCTAGACAGGATCCTCAGACCACACTTCAGGGATGAAAGCAGTACCACGGCACAAGGGAAGGGGTGCTAATTTCTCACCTGGGGTCATCAGAGTGGCAGCCACTGTGAAAAGAGAGGGAAAGTAGATTAGCAGGGAGAGGTGGTATCCTGAGAAATAACCTCCATTTGGGAGAGAGCAAATGAGAAAGAGCCCAGAGAGATAGAAAATCAGAAGTGGAAGTAGAGACAGACCCAGCAGTGAGAAGGCGAGATCAACAGGCTCCAGACTCAGCTTCTCTCCCACAAAGAACCAGGCTCTGCAGCCAAAACGGATCTCCAGGGAGGAAGGGGTCCTAGGAGGATGTGCCCTCAGCACTCCTCACTTCAGAGGCCGCCCAAGCCACCCCTCTCATAGGGACTCTGCCTGCCACTCCTCCCCCCCCCATAACCACTTTTGCTCACCTGGGAGCAAAAGAAGGAGCAGGATGACACCTGAAGGGGCCATGGTGGGCAAAAGGCTTTGGTCCAGAGAAGTCCTGAGGAACAGTGGGGGAGTAAAGAAGCAGAATAGCGGATGTCACCCTGCTGGTGGCAATGTCACCTGCTTCCTGTGTTAGGGTGTGGGAGGGGGAGAAGTAAAAAGTGGGTCCCTGCGACTGCCTTTGGGGATGAACTGGGGGTAGGGTCAGAGCCCAGGGAGGCTCCTATGATCGTCCAGGCAGGAGAGGACGGATGGCCCGGGTTGTGGGCATTGAGGAGATTCTGGGGATATTTTGGAGGTGGAACCAACAAAACTTGCTGGTCATGTATGTATGGGTGTGTATGAGAGGGATTCAGGATGACCAAAGCTTCTGGACTAAGCTACTGGAAAGACGGAGCATTCCTTGACAGAGATGGAGTAGGAGGGGAGAGTAGATTTAGAGGAAAGTGCCAAAGTCTGGGGACACCGAGTTGGAAATGCCTCCTAGATCTCCCTGCAGCACTGAATGACCACAGCTGCATCTGTGAATTCAGGGATAAGTTTCTGGCCTGAGATGTAAATTTTCGGGTTGATGGCTTATGAATGAATAAAGCCACGGGACTGAATGAGATCACCCAGGAAGTGAGTTCAGACAGAGGAGTGCCCCTGGCCCCCTAGAATGGGTGAAGAGGTGGAAACAGCCCAGGAAACTGGGAAGGAACAGTATGTGAGGGAGGAGAATCAGGACAGCCCAAGTCTTGAAAATCTGGGAGAAATGATTAACATGGCCACCGAGATGGGAACTGAGAACGAGCCTCCCCTGGGAATGTCAGTTGGCTCGAGGGCTGGGAATTCCTGTCCGCTTAGTTCAAGGCTATACCACGGCCCCCAGCAAAGGGCCTCTCTTGAAGTAATAAATAATCTTTAATGACGAATGAATAAATGAGAACTGACCTCTGAACAAGGTGATGTGGGGAAAGGGAGAAATTTGAGTCTACCGATGTCACTCTTACCTACAAACCTTCCCTCCCTTGGGACTAGGAGTCCCGAATTCCAGCCTCCTCTTACCCTGGGACTCGGGAATACTATTCCCTTCCAGCCCAGGCTCCAGAAATCAAAGCCTCCCCTTCCAGCCCAGACCCCAGAAATCAAAGCCTCCCCTTCCAACCCAAGCCCCCAAAATCAAAGCCTCCGGTACCCCCTTGGACAGAGACCCAGAAGTCCAGGCCCCCAGTGCCCTCCTCCTTCAGGTGTCGGCAATCCCTGGCCGCTTCACCCTCAGACCAAAGATGGGGGTCCCCAGCTCCCTCTTTCCAGGTAGGAGGCTCCGGAGTCAGGCCCTCAACGTCAGCCCCGCCCATTCAGAGACTGGGCTAGATCAAGCGCGACACGGGGACTCCCGGGTCTGTGGGAGGGGCCCTGCCCTTGACTGGGCGGTGCCAAGAAGTCCAGTTTAAAAACTCGCGGGGAACAGGCCCTAGATCGGGGACCCGGCGGCGGCTCCGCGGGGGAAGAGCGAGGCTGGCGCAGCGCCGAGGCCGCGGCCCTGGGGGCCCGCAATCCGCGCCACGGAATCCGCGAGGTAATGGAGGGGGTGGGGAGGAGAAGCACGCTCGGCCCCTAGGGAGAGCGAGGGCTGGGAGTCCGGCTCTCACGAACCTGCGGGACTGAGCTGGAGCATTAAGCCTGGGTGCTGGGAATGAGCGTACTCGGTGTTTGAAGGGGGTAGGGGTCCGGGACTTATGGTGGTGATGGAGGAGCGGCTGGGATTCTGGGATCCTGGGTCCTGGAAGGGTAAGGAACCGGGGATTCGGAATTCTGGGTCGGGGGGTGGGGTGAAAGGGCTGGGAGCCCTGACCCCTGGGTACTGTGGGAGGAGGGGGCTGGCGGCCCGGTCCGATAGCTCTAGAAAGGAGCTAGACGGAGTCCTGGGGGCGTGGTTATTTAACAAATCAGCCACGAGTCGGTGTGGGTAAGGAGGCGCCCTGCCGTAGGGGGCCCACGCTGGCCTTGACCCTGCCCGGGCCCCGGGAATTCCCGAGTCGCCACCCACCCCGGGTCCCCGGGCGGAGCAGGAATTCCCCACGTGCGGGGATTCCGAGCGCTCCACGCCTGGCCGCGCGCACCGCCTCTGAGCGGGACACCTGCGGCGCGCCGCCGAGAGAGGAAGGGGTGGATGGAAGATTCCCTTGCGTGAGAGCCGTGACGTCAGCACGTCGTGTCTGGGCTGTTTCCGAGTCCGCCCTCCCCCGCTTAACTCTTCCTCTGCTGGAACCAGGGCTTGGAAGGGTGAGGGTTGAGGGTCCGGACTTCCGGGGTGGTGCGGACCAGGCTTCTGGAAAGTGGGACTCCCAGGTGCAAGGGAGGGCGAGGCTGAGGGCCCGGACTCCTGGGTCCTGGGGAAAGGGGTGTTAGGCGCTCGGAGTTCCGCAGAATGGGGCCTGGACTCTTAGGTCTGAAGAGGGGATGGGGTCTGGACTTCCGATCCCCGACGAGCTAGAGGGCTATTGATTGGTCCTTCTTTGGGGAGAGGGCCCGGGGACTCGGACGCCTGTTTTCCCGGGAAGTGTGTCGAGGGCAGAGAGGTGTTGGGAACCTGAATGTGCAAGTCTCCTGGGAGTGATTCCCAACGACCCCCAAGACCTCGGGACTGGGAGATCTGGGGGCTGGGATTTTTCACGGAAGGTGTGGGGTGGTGCTGCAGAGGAGCGCCCTCCTCAGTTTCCGCGACGCTGGTGGAAAGTTGGGTCAGAGGGGAAAGTGCGGAGCAAAGGGAAGGAAACGGCGGAGGCGGAAGCTGCACCTGAAAGCTAAGATTGGCTTTGGAGTTCTCAGGCGTCGTCAGTGTGCCAGTTTTTCCGCGCAGGAGGGTGAGGGAGGGTGCCCGAGTCCACTCCCCTGCGTAGTTGGGTGACTTAAGGAACTCTGATTGCTTCCCTCCCCTCTCCTTCTGCTCCCGCCTCCCCCGCAGTGAGCCGGAGTGAACGCAGCCACTGCCCATCACAGACCGTGAAGAAGCTCCTAGAAGAACAGAGGCGCCGTCAGCAGCAGCCTGACGCTGGTGGGGCACCGGTAAGGCCCACGAAGCCCTCTAAACTGTAACTCGTGAGGCCATGTCCTGTTGGGCAGACACTTGATGGCTTGTGAGCCCTTGACCCTCGGAGAAGATCAGAGGTGTAGTCCTGACTTAGATGCGCTGTGGGCGGGGCATGGATGCTGAGGGATCTGTCCCATAAATTACCCCTTGTTCCTTTTTTTTTTTTTTTTTTTTTTAATCCCTCTATAGGGACAGTTTCCATCTCCCCTGGCCCAGTCCCTGACCCCATCTGTGAATGAGAGTGAGGCTGGTAAGTCTGGAAACTCACCTGGTTCCCTCAGCTCACCTCCCCAGCTTTCTTCAGGGACTCAAACATTCCAAATCTTAGAACTTTAGGGAACTTGGGAGTCAGACCCTCTTTCTTGCTGGGACCCGGTAGCAGTTTGATCGCCCAGATTCTCTGGAGCCCATGGGTCTATGTACACAGTCCTTAAGTGTTCGAGGGGTACAGGCTCCCAGCCTTTTGCACCTCCTGGAGTCTAAGCCCTCAGCCCTCTGAGTCCCAGCCCTTTGGTGTCCCACAAGTACTAGCTCTCAGGACCCTGGGAGATTCCAGGCCCTCACCCCCGTCCTCCAGCCTTGGTCATGACTTCCCCAACCCTGGTAACCAGGCCTGCCCCTGCTCCTCCTCTCACACACAGGCCATTCTCGCTTCCCAGTACACCAAGAGACTGTGGGTTCTGGACTTGGCAGCCTGGCTCCCACCACGGGCTTTCCAGACTGGGACCCCAACACGCATGCTGCCTATACAGACAGCCCCTACTCTTACCCTGCTTCTGCTGCTGAAGGCTTCCCGACTCCTGACTTCTACCCACCCTCCGACCCAGGGCGGCAGTGTCCATTTTCTGTGGGGATGGAGGTGAGATACAGAGTGGAACAGGATGCTGAAGGTCCCCTAAAATTCCCAGTTGCCCTTGTGCTAGATTAAGAGCCCGTTCTTCAGATGGGCAAAACTGAGGCCCCAAGGTCCAAGGTCACTCGGTACAGATGGGGCACCCAGCCACCCTACCTGGCGCTCTGTGTGTGTGTATGTATATATGTCAGGAAAAGGAGTTTTAAGCTGACTTGCTCTGCCCACCACGTGTATCCTTCAGGACCCTCTGGATACCCGGCTGTATGGAGAACCTTCCCTGCCACAGGCAGGATCCTGGAGAGGTTCTGGACTCCCCTTAGGACCCCCACAGTTGCCCCCCGTGGCCACCGGACCATCCCTGGACACAGCCCGTGCTCACATGCTGGCTCTGGGGCCACAGCAGCTGCTGGCCCAGGATGAGGAGGGAGACACGTGAGTATGGGGATTGCAGTCTGCCTGTTCCTGGCTTAGCTGGGGTTCTGCGCTCACTGCTTGTCCTCTACCTGTCCTCAGGCTCCTGCACCTGTTTGCGGCTCGGGGGCTACGCTGGGCAGCATATGCTGCAGCTGAGATGCTCCAAATGTATAGACATCTGGACATTCGTGAGCATAAGGGCAAGGTGAGGGCCAGGGACCCAGGCTGCTGGATTTGAAGGCAGGAGGTCTGGGGGCCTGGATTATTGGTTTTTCAGAGGGGAGGAGACCAGGGGCCCAGACTGACCTTCTTATTTCCTGCAGACCCCTCTCCTGGTGGCTGCTGCCGCCAACCAGCCCCTGATTGTGGAGGACCTGCTGAACCTCGGAGCAGAGCCCAATGCCACTGATCATCAGGGACGTTCTGTCTTGCATGTGGCTGCTACCTATGGGCTCCCAGGAGTCCTCTCGGTATGACCAGTGGGCCGGTGGGGAGAAGGGGTTGGACTGGTTGTTCAGATCCTGGCTTCCAGGGCTAGGAGGCCTGGGGAGACTCGACTCCAGCACTGTGCCTTCTCCTCCTCAGGCCGTGATTAACTCGGGGGTTCAGGTTGACCTAGAAGCCAGAGACTTCGAGGGTAAGCTGGGTGGTGGGCAGGGAGGGTGTGGCAGGTGGGGCTGGGGTAGGGTGGTCGCCTTGGATGCAGAGCCCTCACCACCTCTATCCTGCAGGCCTCACCCCTCTCCACACAGCCATCCTGGCCCTCAACATGGCTATGCACCCACCTGACCTATGTTCCCGGGTGCTGAGCACCCAGGCCCGAGACAGGCTGGCTTGTGTCCAGATGTTGCTGCACATGGGTGCTGATCACACCAGCCAGGTGAGCTGGGCAGTGGGCAGCCGGCCCCTAGAAGGGTATGTGGGATGGGGCACCCGGACGTCCAGGGCATTCAGACAAATTGACTTTGCTCCTGCCAGCCATGTGAACTTGAGCACATGGCTATGTTTCCCAGGGCCCCAGAGAAGAAGATCACTGATCTTAGGTTGTACTTACTATTCATCAGGCATCAAGTGTCATGGATTAGCTAATCGAATCCTCACCGACCCCCTTTGACAAGTGCGCTGTTATTACTTTTACCTCTTTACTCATAAAGAAACTGAGGCATAGGAGTCAAAAATCTTAGAGCTTGTAAGAGTCAGAGAGGCGATTAGAATCAGGTAGCCTCGTGCCAGAGAACACAGACTCTCTCACTCTCCTCTCTCTCAAATAAATAAATAAAATCTTTAAAAAAAAATAAGAATTTTGAACACAGATAAAATACAGAAAATAGTATATTCACAAAAAATTATGTCTTTTAAGTGAAGAACTCTTTTAACCTCAATACCATCATTTCACCTTAAAAAAAAATTTAAACTCATAATATCAAGTATCCTGGCTGTGTTCAAATTTCTGATTGACTCTAAAGTGATATACATTCTTTGTTTTTTAAGATTTTTTTTTATTTGTTTATTTGATAGACAGAGATCACAAGTAGGCAGAGAGGCAGGCAGAGAGAGAGGGGGAAGCAGGCTCCCTTCCAAGCAGAGAGCCCAATACAGGGCTCTTTCCCAGGACCCTGGGATCACGAACCAAGCCGAAGGCAGAGGCCTTAACCCACTGAGCCACCCAGGCGCCCCTTTTATGTTTTTTTTTTAAAGATTTTATTTATTTATTTGACAGATAGAGATCACAAGTAGGCAGAGAGGCAGGCAGAGAGAGAGGGGGAAGCAGGCTCCCAAGACCCTGGGATCATGACCTAAGCCGAAGGCAGAGGCTTAACCCACTGAGCCACCCAGGTGCCCCTACATTGTTTTTTTATTAAAAAAAAAAAAAAAAAACAAAAAAACTCAGACCCAAATAAAGCCCTCATATTGCCATTGTAAGACTTTTAAAGTTGTTCTTAATTTAGAGCTTTCCCCTTTCCATCTTCTGGTCTCCTCTTCATTATCTATTTGGTGAGCCAGCTGGGTTGTTTTGTCTTGTAGAAACACAGCATATTTTTAATGAGGGCACATAATAAGGTCTCATTGTGGAAAATATCTTTATTTGCTCCAAAATATGAAGAGAACAACTCAAATGGAAGTATGTATGGGTTTGTTGAGTCCTCTGATTAATGCTGTTCAAGTCCCATCCTTATAGATCAAGTACAGTCCATGTGGGATGTGGGTACATTTTACCATGCCTAATGGAATGTGGGGTGGCCAGGGCAGCTGCAAGTGCAGAGTGCCTTTGGAGGATTAGGTAAGAGCCTTCTTCTCAAAGATACTTGGGCTGGAAAACTGTCAAAAGAAACATAGTTCTGTGATGCAAAGGATGCGAATGGCATCCCCTTAAAGGTGATAGTCTTGTATAGTGCACAACATAGATAACTGTGTAAGGAACCCCTGGGTGCTTGCAAAGGAGAGACAAGGTGTCTAAAGGCTCTTGGATTCCATGGGAGGGGCTCTGGGTGTGAGAATTGGCCTGACCTCCGCCGTTCCTTTCTCTACAGGAGATCAAGAGCAATAAGACAGTTCTGCATCTGGCTGTGCAGGCCGCCAATCCTACCCTGGTTCAGCTGCTGCTTGAGTTGCCGCGGGGAGACTTGCGGGCCTTTGTCAACATGAAGGTGGGGACCTAGGTTGGAATGGGCAATTGTGTGAGATGTGACGGAGAAGAGCGGGGGGCTTGGAGAGGCCTGTGGGCTGTGGCAGTGGCAGGGACAACGTAGAGAACCCAGGTGGGGACCAGATAGGATGTGGATGGCTGTAGATTGCAGGAATGTATGGGACATAGACTGAGGGGTGTGTGGAATGTGATTGTGGAGGGGATTCCGGGATGTGAGTAGGGGCACATGGAATACAGCTGGGAAGGCAGCAGTGTTGGACTCTGGAGTGTAATGTGGAAGGCCCGGGCCAGCTGAGTCTGTGTCTTTATCAGCCCTCCCCTCACTGTCCCCAGGCCCATGGGAACACAGCCCTTCACATGGCAGCTGCCCTGCCCCCTGGACCACCCCAGGAGGCCATCGTGCGGCGCCTGCTGGCAGCTGGGGCGGATCCAACATTGCGAAACCTGGAGAACGAGCAGCCTGTCCACCTGCTGCGGCCTGGGCCGGGCCCTGAGGGGGTGAGTGCTGAGCCCACCCTGACCGCAGAGTGGCCTGTGACCTAATGGGCTGAACCCCTGACCCTACCCACTCAGGACTTTAGAGGGTCTGTGGCCCTGGCCTCTCTTTCTAGCCTCCCTGACTTCTCCCCTGTCTTGTCCGCAGCTCCGACAGCTGTTGAAGAGGAGCCGTGTGGCACCCCCAGGCCTGTCCTCTTAGGACTCAAACCCAGAACCTGGACTGATTTTCCAGTCCCCACCGTCCTGTGGGACAGCCAGCGTATGCTAATGTTGCAAATCCATGATAATGTATGTGGAATATCCTGCCATCAGGGTCTTACATTAAAACCCCAAAATGGCTGCCCGGGGGGGGTAAACGATCCCCAATATTTGGGGTGGTGTAATACCCCTCCCCTACCCACAAGGAGCCCTCTTGATGATTTCTGTGAAATCGAGGCCCCTTGATTGTTTCTGTGAAACACCCTAGACCCCTAACCCTTCCTCCCTTGGGATCTTCTGGGACCCCCTCCCCTACTCAAGTCCAGTTCAACTCACCTAGAATCCCAGATGTGATTTCCCTACACAGTACTTGGGGTACCCCCAGAATAGCTCCCACTGTCATCTGGTAGAGTTCCTGAGATGACTCCCCAAACCCACACCATTCAGGTCCTTACCCCTGAGACATAGGAAGGACTCTTCCTAGATTGGAGTTCCCTAGGTCCTATGCTTTCTAATTCAGAACTCAACTGGCAGGGCCCCTATCCCAGATCTCCGCATTTCCGGTGAATCCCTCCCCTAATTGAAATGCCTTATTAAACTCAGTTTGGACTGCGCTGTCATTGTCTTAATCTCTGGGGGCATTGGTGCAGGGGAGCGGCCGTGGTGCTTGGCTGAGGAGGCATGTTTGGATGACTGTGTGGGTGGGGTATGTAGCAGACTGTGGGTGCCAAGTCTGCATCCTTCACCCCATCAGTACCTGGTGGTCTGACTGCCTGTGGACATCGTGAGACCACTGGTGTCTGCTCTACCCTGGGTATGAGCCAGGTAGCCTTAAGTGCCAACGAGTTGATGCCCTTTCCTGTCTAATAGCCCTCAAACTAGAGACTGAAAGGAGATGGTATAGAAGGACTCCAGGTCCCTCACCTCTCTGTGAGGGTAAATGTGGAAGTGTGTGTTCTACACATGCTCTCAGAATTCCCCAACAGAATTAAGCTTCAGTTCCCCGTACTGGTTCTGGCTTGATGACATCCTTTCCTGACTGGTTTCCCTTTTCTGTGTCCTTTCCCACCTCCCCTACCAATAGATTGTCCTCAAATCCTGCTTCTGGAGAGACCCAAACTGAGAAGACCTCCCAATGCCCCTTTCTCATAACTGCCCCACAGTCTCTGCTCTGGACTTCATCCCACTCTTATCACCAAAAGAGCCCCACTGAAAGCCCTCTGACTCATCTTAACCCCTCACTGCTCAGAGCCTCTCATAGACAACAAACAAGCCTACTTGGGGGCATGTACCCATGTCTCCATCCCAAAAGTAAAGGCTTGAAACAACCATCACTATTCGCTAATGATCCTACAGTCTGGGCTGGGCTCAACTAGACAGTCCTGCTTTGGTCACTCATGCAGCTGCAGTCAGCTAGGCCTGTTCGGGCTGGGCAACTTTGCTCACATGTCTGACAGCTTAGCTGGGACCACTGGGAGTGGGCCAAGCACCCTTTCCTCCATGTGGTCTCTCCAGGAACGTGGGTGGTTCCAAGAGGAAGTGTTCTAAGAAAATACGTACTTGCTTGCCTCACACTTGTTGACATCACGTTGGTCAAAGTCATTTACATGGCCAAGCCCAGAATCTGGGGAGGGAGCACTACTCCAGGGCTTGAATATTGGGAGGCGGGGTTTCCGGAGCCCCCTGTGTTAGTCTTCCACATCAGCAGCCCTGTACCAGCATGCACTGCTCTTCTGAGGATGCACATTGTGGCAGCTGACCTGTGAAGAATTCATAGGAACGTTATTCCATAGATTCTAAGAACTTAACTGGAAAGCATCTTACAGTCATTGTAGGGCGTAGTTTAATTTCTGTATTTCTTCCTTTGCATAAAAGTATTTTATCTATCTAGCTATCTATACACCTATCTGTCTTAGAAAGTTTGTGAGTGGGGAGTGGGGCAGAGGGGGAGGGAGAGGGACGAGCACACTGTGCTGAGTGTGGAGCCCAACATTGGGCTCCATCCCAGGACTCATGATCACAACCTCAGCTTAAACCAAAAATTGGATACTCTAAGAACTGAGCCACCCAGGCACCCCCATAAGGATATTTCTTATCATTTATGGCATCTTAGAGCCTACTGACATATAAGATGTATATATATATATAAAAAGATGTATATCCCAAGATGTATCAATAAACACATGCACACACATATTAAAAATGAGAGAATGATAAAATGTCTCTAAGAAACTGTATTATTAAAATAAAAATGAACAAATTGTTTTCAATGGGAAAAAAAGGGCAGCTTAATGGTACAAGAACATCAAATGAACAATAGCAATCCCCTGCTGGAATTCCAGTAATAAGTCTTTTTAAACTAATTACCCTAAGTATCACCGTTAATATGTAAACATTAGTAAGGAATCACACGCTGAGCATACTGAGCAAAATGGCCTTTCACTTCCTGTCCCACGGGCTTGGAGGAGCTCCTTATTCAGTTAGCCTGTTGATCACCCTTGACTGTGAAAACACAAAGGCAGCATTTTCCCCCTGTCTGTGGTGCTAGTCATAGATTTCTGCTAGGTACAGTACAATGCAACTAAAGGTTTAACCAGTATCAGAATGATGATGGAAACCGGGTTCTCCAACGAAGCTGTGGCATTGTATGTAACTTGCGTTGTGTAGGCATTTTCTTCCCGATGTCTACTGTCTATATTTAATATATATGACTTGTAATTACATGTATATACTATGATGAGACACTCTGAGCTCATAGGCTCTTTGGAAGAAAATTAATTCTAAGAGCTTCCTCCCTAGGCCATCTGCCAGAAAATTGTGTACTAAGCTGACATTAGAGCATGACATATTACTGCCACCTGCTGGGAAGTTGTGGTAAAAAGGCAAGTCTACAGTGTGTAGAAAGTGAAAGTTATCACTTGGAATTTTGCAGTGCACACCCTGAACAGCATATGGGACAGCCTCAAATTACTGGACAGCAGGTTAGCAAAATGAGTAAGAACGTGGTTGCTGGAGCCAGGTAGTCCCGGTTGAATCCCTAGATCTGACCCTTCCTAGATGGTGACCATTGGCATGTTATGTAACTTCTTACCTCCATTTCTTAACCTATAAAAGGGAAGAGTGATAGTACCTCCTACATGGGATAGAAGTAATGATTAAGTGTGTCATTGTATGTAAAAAGCTCTGGGAGCAGTGCCTGCCATAGGGTGAGTGCCTTATGAGTATTTGCTGCCATACCGTTTTAAGATTGTTTTTATTTATTTGAGAGAAAGAGAGAGAGCATGGGGGGGGGGCAGAGACAGAGGGAGAGGAAGAGGCAGACTTCCCCACTGAGCAGGGAGCCCAATGCAGTTTAGAGCCCAGGACCCTGGGATCATGACCCGAGCCGAAGGCAGACATTTAACCAACAGAACCACCCAGGCGTCCCTGCTTTATATTGCTTTAAAATTTATTTAACAAATACTTATGAAATAGCAGGCACAGTTCTAACATCTCCACAAATATTAACCCTTTTAATTTCCATAACAACCCTGTTGGGGCAGGGAAAAGCATATGCAGATGGTTAACCCCAACACCATAAGACGGGGTGCAGGAGGGTTTAAATTCCAATAGGCATTTGCAGACAGCACATTCCCCTCTCTGGGACACATAACTGGAATTTACCCAATTCAGGGGGATTCCTATTGCCTCCCAAAAAGGGATGGAAACTTGTGAATAGGAAGAGGGGTTCAAGATTCTCATTCCCTTCTTGGAATCGCAGGTTGGGGGTGGATGCTATGTGTGAATGAGTGTGAGGGTGAATAGAAGGCAGGAGATACTGCCAGAACACAGCTTCCTCGGAGTCTATCTCGGGATTTAGCAAAGAGAGGTCCCGAAGTAATAAACCGTTCAGCACCACGGAAAGCTCCTGAGTGGGCAGGGGGAGGCTGTCCAGCCTGGGCCCCGCCCCCTGCACGCCAATCCTAGCCCTCCTACAGGCTCCGCCCAGATTTTTAGATCCCAGACCATCAAGCTCCTTCCCATTGTTTGAGGAGGTGAAGGAGGCCTGGGCAGGGATCCACAGCAGCGTCCAGGGCTATGATTACACACCGATTCCCCCACAGAGACGCAGGATGGCATGGTGGGGGAAGGATTTTATTGGCTTGTTAGTGGGGAGCACATGGGAGGGTGAATTCTAGGGAACAACAGACACTGGGACCAAGCTGGTGGTCACCTTAAGGAACAATAAATTAACTTACAAAATAAATTAAGGTGAGGGAATCCCAAGCAGGGAGGCAGCTGGGAATATCTGGGGATTTCTTGGGAATGGAATTTGGAATTGGAAAGGGGAAATAAGAACTTCCAGCCCCCTCAAAAAGGGTGTGAAATGAACATTTCTGAGGGCCCCCCAAGGCTGGGAGCTGGGGTTCTGGGGCTCCAGAAAGAGGGAAGGTCTGGGCTCAGCCGAAGGGGGTAACCGGGGCTGGTTCAGGGTCGTTCCTCCAGGAAGCGGTAGGTGGGGTTCTCGTAGCCATGACGCTGCAGTTCCCGAAGCTGCTGCTCCTCCAGGGTCAGCATTGGGTCCACCTGCAGTAGGGGCCGGGAACAGAGGGGCATAGGGACCTGACCACAGATCTCACAGTTCCTTTGTGTCCAGGGTCTGGAATTCCTCCCCCATCCCATGTCTTTGTATCTCTCACCTCCACCACTCCATGGCTGATAGCCCCATAGGGCTTCTTCTTGCGCAAGAGCAGCAGTGAGAGGACGATCAGGGAGCCCCCACCTGCTCCCATGATCAGCAGACCAGACACGGCCTCTCGGGACACTCCTGTCCCTGCTGGTGCCTGCGTGGAGAGGACATGGGGCAGAGGCCATCTCTGAGGCTCACCAAGGCCCTGTGTGGCTTTGGGAGTCACAGCCTAGCCACTGACTTCTGACCTCTCCCCCTAAGTCCCCAGAATAGTCCTCCTCTTACCAGCTCATCTCTCTGAATCTCCGATGAGTGGAAAGGAAAACCCCTTGGAACAGACACATTCACCTGGGGAAGCAGGAGGTGTCAGCGACTCAGGAGTCTGGGCCCCGGCCTCCTCCACCCCTGGGCCCCAGTAGGGCATCCCCCAGCCTCCTTCTTCCCTAGGATCCCGAAATCCATGTTCTCAATCCCTTCTTCACTCAGGCCAAGGAATCCAAACCCCTAACACCCTCCTTCTTCAGATGCTGGAGTCCAGGACCCCTCTCCCATCGACCCTCAGGCTCCCACAGATCTGACTTACCTTTCGCTCATACTGCTCCAGGGGGGACATCTTCTCTTTCCCAGAGGATGCAGCATCTTGTTCTGTGGACCCTAACCCCCAAGTCCTATCTTATTCCTGAGAGTCGAGAATGGTGCTACACCTGCCTGAGGAGGCAGTCAGAAGGGGCTCCGGACTCTACCCAGAAGGTCTGGAGTTCCCAAAGGATGGACCCTTTCCCATTCTGGGCTCAGGGACTAGCGGGATTTGGTGGCTGGGGTCTGCTCTGGGAGATACTCACCTTTCGGAAGGGCCATGGGGGTGTCTGCAGGCAGCCAGAGGAGGCAAGACAGGCAGAACAGTGAAGAAAGGAGGGCATCATCGAGGAAAGGGTGGAGACACACC